ACAGGTAGAAAATGTACGTGTGATTAGAACCAATTACTGCACGGTAGTGTCTGCATGCGTAGATGCGGATGCTTACTGCACAGTAATTAGCTCTACTGCGCAGTAAAGCATCTCGTGTAGATATGCCCAGTTTGACTAAAAGTCAAAGCAATAATCAACCACCTCCCTATGTTTTTGGCATTAGATACTTGGCATCAGATACAATAAGCCAGTGATTTTTAATAGGCTGGCAGAGGAGCTAGGCTCAGGGAAGTGGTCAAGGAAAAAAAGAGATGATGATGGTGATGATTATGATTATTTATAGAATCATATATTAAGGTGAGTGTTTTCAATATACAGGTTGGGATGGACAGGATGGAAAATTTCTGATTTATTTCTGAAAGCTGGTTGGGGCGCTGGCTTTATCACAGAGTGACTGCAATAGAAAGTCATTTACCATGCACAAATTTTCATATACCAGGATAGGATCTTGTGCTATCATTATTTTGGGATTTACACTGTAGAATGGGACAGAAGAATGCTTTGCTACAAAAAAGGAGTACTTGTGGACACTATACATTTCAGATCTTTTGTTGGGTATTGAGCCCAAATGGGATACACCCAAAGCTAAAATTTCCATTAAAACATAAAAAATAAAATAGCTGTAGAAAAGTTAAGAACAGTTTAGTGCTCCATCTCTTTTGTCTTATCCTATTTTCTGAGAAGTAGTTTGGCATATTTTTAAAACCAGGGTTGTTTTTTTATTTTGAATATTCCATAAATTTCTTTTATAAAACTGATTTAATCTGACCTCTCTATTCCTTCCATATATTTACAGCAAACAGATTATATTTGTTTAGTGAGGCAAACATGGTAATTGACTTTCAAATTAGAACTGCATATTACTTTATCATATTTTGTTTTTATTGTAACTAGAACAATTTATTTTCCATCTACTTGGAGTTCAGGAAAGTGAAAATTTAAATCTCAAACTACAGTCCTATATATCTCAACTTTAGTTGGGCTCATGGCATAAAACTCAGAGCCACATCTGGTTCTGGATTTCAAACTTCCCCATGTTTGAGGGTTGTTTGGATCCATCTTGAATAAGAAAAGCTCATTTTTATTGGTTTCAAATGTTTAATACTGTTCTTGGAATTGTCAGTGTGTTAATGTATCGTTCAAGTAATTTCTCTGCTCCTGGCGCTAAAAAAGGGAGCTTACACTATACATAGCTGCATGTGAACAGAGAGGCTTATATGATTATGGCAATAATTCATGAAATCTAGGAGCCAAAGTATAATTTTGAATTTATTTATTCACGATAGCAGAACTTAATATTCCTTTTGCCTCCTAAAGAGTCTCATAGTCTCTCTCCTTTTCCTGCAGTTCTGTTGCTCTGAATCACCAGTGTGAATTGCTTTAGCATTAAAAGTGTCCTAACATTTTCTTCTTAGTCCCTGCAAAGTGCTATTTTCTCATTTAAATAAATAACCTTGATTCCAGAAAGATGATGCCAAAGCCGTCCTCAGACTTTCCTGAAGAATCTTGTGTTTGAACAGAAGCCTGTCTTCTGTTCTTTATTTATGAGCTAAGTGTTTTACTGGTGCAGAATAATCACCTTGCAGCTGAAGATTTAGGCAACCTGCTGTATCTTTAACACTTTGCCAAGTTTTTAACAATGTTGATCCATTTTAGGAAAAGGGGGATGCGGAGCTTGTGGGTCTGTTCAAAACTGTTATTTAAAGAAGCCACAAAGGAGGGCCTTTTTGTGACCATCCCCAGTGGCAGGAAATAAAGCATTAATTTGTACTCACTCTGGTGTATTCAGTGTCTGTCTACATGAGATACCCACTGCAAACCTCCTCAAATGGAGGGGAACTTGTAACAGGCTGCCAGCTGCTTCAATCCTTAACTAGTGACATGGGACCAAAATCTGTTCTTTCTTGTACAGACTTTTTTGAAAGTCCTGGACACATAATTGAAGGCAGAAAGAATCTGACGTGTAGTCATACAAGAACTGAAGAATACTGTTGACACAATGGGTCAAATTAATCTCTCTCTTTTTTTAGTTCATTGAAACAATGTGCCTGGAACATTTTAAACCAACTTTCCCATGTGATCTATCAATTTCATGTCATCTTCTAAGAAACGGTATGCTTTACAGCTAATTCCTCCATTTTAAATAAACGGAGAGAAAATAAACATGGAGTCCAAGTACAAGTTCACATTTCAGAGTAGAAGTATTCTTAAACAGATTTATTGTCTTCTTGTTCACCCAAATTATTCCGATTAGCCTTTGTAGGAACAGGACTTGTGCACAGGAGGAGCCAACAGTGTACACATGCATGAAATTTCAGAAGGCAAAAAAACCTGGCCAGCTGCCTCTTGGTTTCTCAGTAGAGCTGGTTGGAAAACTGAAACAATCATTTTCCACCAAACAGTTTAAATTCTTGAACTTTGAATTGGACTGCAAAGTTAGAAATGTGAAAGATTTCATGGGATTGCTAGAAACATGCTATTGTGAAAGGATCAAACCCCAGAATTTTTCAGCATGGCCTTAATAGCCTGAAAAGCTTTGACTTTGTTCTTGCAAGCAAAAGTGAAACAAGGGCCTTCCATGCAAGCTGCATGAAGCTGAGGCCCTCCAGCTTTTCCCTCTCTACCTCTTGTCTGAGTTCTGCAGTTTTGGCAGCTTGTCTGATACCTACTTAAGGAGAAGTGCTGAGCCTAGAAGGACGAGGAAAGTCACCCCCTGATTTATTTTTACCAACTCTTTGGGCTGTGAAGAGCAGAGATAACTCCACTGTGTGTTATGCAATTGATTTATAGTGGTTTAGAAGACAAAAATGAGGGTGAAATCCTAGTCCCATCAAAATCCTTACGAGCTTTGCCACTGATTTCAGTGCAGCTAAGGTCTTTTGGCCTGAAGGGCTGCTCTTGAAGTAGGAATCAATTTTCTTAATAGCTTCTTTCAAAGAATATAATACTGTTTGAAAAATAATAGAGTGTAAATCCAAATGTATAATTTCCTACAGAGAAAACACCTTTTTTAACACTAAGAAAAAGCTCCACCTCCCTCAGTCAACCTGCACAGCTAAACGTAGAGATGAGTCAAACCCTTTTTTAACTCCCACTTCCTCATTTCTTTGCTACAATATGCAGTTTTCATGAAAAGTCTGTACACTTTGTCTTTTTTTTTTTAAGTTTTAATAGGCAGCACCACCCAGTTCCGGTGTAGTGGTATGTGTAGGAGCAGCCAAGGAAAAGGAAGGCATCTTGATTGCAATGATTTTTGTTTATTTTTTTAAAGAGCAGAAATGGCCTTACTGTCAGTTGTCTAGTCTAGCTTTGGGTTGACTTCCAACAAGAAAGCTCAGAGACAGAGCCCATAGGCTGTTAGTGGAATAGAGGCTTGTCTACATTGCAGAGTTGCAATGTTGCATTGCAAAATATAGGATGTTTCTATATAACACAGTTAACTTGGGCCCAAACATAACTGAAATATGTCTATACTGTAGTGGCAGCATGTTCCAGCCACAATGGCCCAGCCATGCTCAACCCATCCACTTCTACTTGCATACTGCAACTTGGACATATGATGGTGATAACACTCTGAGGTTATCCCCAGCACCTGCTTTCATGCATGCCAGAGACTGAGCATGTATCTGCAGAACTATGACCTGGCGTGGCCTGTCAGGGGGTGCACCAGTGCTCTCAGGGGGTGCACGTGCACCCCCGTGCATCCCTTATGCGTTGCCACTGGTGGTGTGCTTGGGAAAGTTCTGGGGTATGTTTCTGCTGCAATGTAGGCATGCCCTTACTTACCTTACAGAAAAACCTCTGACTTGGGTGTGGGTGTGTTTTAAGCCCAGGGTGGTTTCTGCAGATGTGGGTATGGGCTAGAACCTGGGGCTCCACTTAATATCAGGATGGAACTTGGTCGGCAGTGAGGGCACACTCAAGTATTTATCATTCTCCAGCATCTTCTCATTGGTAGCTCTCCATTGTCTTATAGTTGCGTGTCAACAGACAAAATACTTCTCCCAGAAATGACAGAATTGATAGGCAAAGACTGCTGGAGCAGTTCAGTTCAAAGAATAAAATGATAGGATCTCAGAGATACATGGATTAATTCATAAACAGCAAGGATACAGTAATGGGAGTAAAACCTTTGTGGGAATGCTCACATAGCCTAATAGGGGATTTTAACCTGCATTAACTGTGTTCAGTCACAGCAGTAAATCCAATTTGGTTATGAAACAAGACTAGCAAAATATAGGGTTGCAGGTGAAAAGATGATATATGGGGAACAGAAAATAAAAAACAATAATTCAATTTAAATATGAGACCATTAACACCTGTTTTAATAACAGGCATCTAGTGTTAAGGTTATTGGATGTCCTAACCTAAACTTTAACTCTGAATATCCTGGGGCTATAACACCTGATTTGAGAATTGAGATTAAACCAAATATAATTTAAATTAAATTTAAATAAACTTGACATATGTTCAGCTTGATTTCATTCAGATTGAATGCATATTACAATATGCATTTAATCTGAATGAAATGGACTTTGATCCTGAAAGCTTGCAGAAAAGGGCAATTTTCTTGCCATTTTCCAGTTGGTCTAATAAAAGGTATCATTTTGGAACCAAGAGTTCTAGTTTTTTGTATTACAATAAAAGAATTTTAGATTGAATTTAGGTTAGGTTACATTTGATTTAGATAGATTCGAGTTACATTTGGATTGAGTTTATATTAAGATTATATTTTCAGTTTGGACTGAGTTAGATTACATGTATACTAGATTAAGATTAGATTGAGATTGGATTCCAGTTAGATTAGCATTAGATTAGTTTTGAGGTTGGGTTGCCAACACTTTCAAGGGAAATGTTGATCTCTAAAATGTTTTTAGCTTTCAAGCTATGTCTCCAACTGCGACTTCTGCTCTTGGCCTTCTCTGTGATGTCATCAGAGCCTAGATGAGTTGAGTCAGCAGTGACATTACAATTAGCTGATGAGGTCACAATGGATGACTCAGCCTATATCCCAAAGACCTTGGTACTGCTGGCCCAGAGTAGCCGACCTCCTCCCAGAAGATAGAGAACTCAGCCTCACGGAACAAGGCCAAGAACATCTGCTTATTCAGGTTAGCCCATGGTTTGGAGGCACCATTATTAAAAGGGAAACTTTTTTTTAGAGGGCAAAAACAAATTCTGATTTTAGGTAAATCCAGGACTGCCCCCTAAATTCAGCAGGGTTTTTTTCTGATTTCAGTGGAGTTTCTCACTGAGGTGAGCAACTGTCTTTTCCCTTAGAGAGTTCTATGCCCATCGGGGATTTATATACATGCACATATTGTCCAGAAGAAACCTGAAGGACAGAACCAATGGTTGAAAGGATGTAGGTTTAGCTAAGGCCTACTAGGAATTTCAGCAGAACCTAAGGGAGTCGGACATCCAAATCCATTTGAAAATTTGAAGGATCCTTTGAAACACCCACTCACAGTCCATATATCATTTCTCCTACCTTCCTTTCAAGCCTAATTGCAGGTGTAACGGCCCATTAAAATGAATGGAAAATTAATACAGGGTCAGGGGAAGGGACAGGAACTTTATGTAGGAGCATATGTAGGAGAGCAGGTCATGGCTTTGGGACTAAATTGCCCATCTTTAAATGGAAATCATTGACAACTAAACTGAGGGAAGTGTGAGGTACAGAAACTGTGCTGACAGTGCCCCAGCTCTGGTGTTGCCATCTTGGTTCACAAAGCAGGAGGAACAGCCTTGAGGATAGCCCGTGGCTTGTGCTATGCAGCAGCTCTGACTACATTTGTGATTTTCAAAGCAGCTCAAGGGAATTGGGTGCCCACTTTTTTTATACATGTTAATACTACTGGAAGCCTAAGGGTTTCCCTCCTGGTTCCCAGATGTCTTCAGATACCCCTCCCCCCCTACACAATTCCTAGCTGTCCTCAGCCATCGTCTAAATGCCAGATGTTCCTATCCTAACATCACTCTCACTCCAACTCTATGGCCTCACATAGTTTGTAGTAGCTCCCCTGGGAGGCACAGGGGGTTTGGGGTGCCATGGCTTTACCTCTGTCTTCTCCTCTCTCCAGCCAAGGATGTCTGAATTAGAGAAAGCCTTCTGTAAATTTGCAACGTACGGGGACACGGCTGCTACTGGCAATGACATGACATGCAAGAACTTCTCCAAGCTGTGCAAAGATTGTGGTGTGATGGATGGGAAAGCTGTGACCAGCACGGACGTTGACATTGTATTTAACAAAGTCAAGTTAGTAGGGGGCAGACTGGAGATGCAGCTGTGGGTGGGGGTGGAAAGCGGGGAGATTGAGGAATGTGGATGTTTTATAATTTTTGCTGGCCCCTCCAGCTTTGCTGGGAATTGCATGAGTCTCTGTCTCACTGCAGGACCAAGGGCGCTCGCACCATCAACTTTGTTGAATTCCAGCAGTCCATGAAGGAGTTATGCGGGAAGCGCTTCAAGAGCAAGTCCCCTGAGGAGGCACTGCAGGCTGTGTATGCACTGATAGAGGGCAAGGACCCAGCCAATGTGGGCGTCACAGTGAGTACCTCAACTCAATCTCTCATGCCACGTGTCACTCCCAAGCACAGCATCCTGCCCACTGTTCTGCCCAGCACTTACCATGACGTAATGTGCCCAGAGTCCTCTTCCCCTCACTTCATTTGCTTAAGATCCCACCTGCAGTGGGCAGGAATATCCCAACACAGAGACTAGAAAATAACTGGGAGTGGAATTAACGTGGTGTAAATGTCATGGAGATAGCACCCCCACCTTGAGGCAGGAATGTGCCCTGGGTCATCCTTTCACCCACACAGCCCGCCCTCCCCTTTGGGAGAAGATTGATCGCATTGTGAGCCTATCCCCTATCCTTGCTGACTCCTGCTATCCTGCTCTCTTACAGAAAGCCACCACAGTTGGTGGGGTGGAAAGGCTGACGGATACCAGCAAATACACAGGTTCTCACAAGGAACGATTCGATGAAAGCGGCAAGGGGAAGGGGCTGGCTGGCCGTGAGGAACTGACTGATAGCAGTGGCTATGTTGGGGCCTACAAAGGATCTGGCTCCTATGACAAGACACATTAAGTCCTAGATCTGTTCTTAGGATAACCCTACACTCCAGTTATCCACTGTAACCTGAGAGGGGAGGCAAGTAAATACCTCAGGCTCACTGCGTCTTGGCTTGTGTGCATCTCTGATTCCCAGATCTGGGATTGCAGGGGGCAGGACAGGTGGGAAATATCCAGATCTGAGACTGGAGGATTTCATCTAAGGATGAAGAGGTGGTTTTGGCTATGGTCTGCTTGGGAAGGGTTCTCAAAGAATTAACAGTAAAGGGCTTATGCAATATGGCTGGGCTTTCTCAGGTGCTCTTCACAGCTGTGAGATGGAGTTGGGTCTCTTAGACATCTTGTTAGACAGGGAGGAAGGAACAGGGAGTCAGGACTCCTGTGTTTGCCCTTTCAGACCTGTGTGACCTGGGGTAGATAGCTTCATCTCTCTGTGCCCATTGCAGTCTGTGTAAAATAGGATTTGGACACTGGGGGTTGAAACCAGAAGGATATTGACCCTATCTCAATACCTCCCAGGTACTCTTGCAGGTTGTCTCTGCCGTGGGACTGGCATGTCCTGATACCAGAAGGGCTGAGCATGCCTTGCTCACCGAAGCCCCCAACCAGCTTCTACATTACCCTGAGGCTACTCCAGGCTTATACCCAGTACCTGCTTTCATGCCTTTTGTCCTGGGAGGGTCTGAGAGGTTCGCAGGCCCTCTGATGCTTGGACTAGCTGCTGACATGGTATAGATAAGCTGCTGGAGCATCTCCCCTTCAATTTACCTGGGTAAATGAGTTGCATATCTGACCCTTATTCTGTCCCATGAATTTTGAGCCTAAATGAGCCATCCCCAGCAGCATTGTACTTTAGAACCAGGTTAGAGAAACAAGATACCTCTAGGCTATGAAGAGCAGTGGTCACAGGAACATACAGCTCTTTTTCACGAGGCCTGTCATCACCAGGGTACAAAATGCAGCAGTCTAGCACCAGAGCTGAATGGAGGGAAATGTCAGTCTGGCAGCTGAATGGAGGGAAATGTCTCATTATGGAGGGCAGTCACCCAAGTGTCCATGTGCCTTCATACAAAGTGTGAAAAATTGGGCGCTGGCAAGGTTCGGAAGGTGATGCCTCCAGGTTCATAAGGCCCTCAAGTGCTGGGGTGACATTGCCCTAGTGTGTGGGGAGGAATCTCCTGTTGAACAGTGCCCCAAGCACCCACTTGGAGACACAAATCATGACGAGGGTTGGAACAAGTCTCTCTGTTGTCATTCCTTTCTCTCAGCCCAAGAGTTTTAACAAAGCTTCAAACACTTCATTTAAGGAATGGGGCACAACACGTATCAAGTTGCCAGGTTTGATGGGGCTTGCTGTTTCCAGCTCTTTTGGAACATTTCCCCATAGCGGTCCTCATGCACACTATTACCTGGCCCAAAGGTTGGCTCTCGCTCCAGGATTCCTCTTAAACTGGGCACAGTCAGGGGGAAAGAGACCTTGAATGTGAGATTGATCCAGTAAAACTGCAGGGCATGGAGGACCCGAATGATTTTTCAGGGAATAATCACCCCCACTGGTGGCATTGCTTTTCCCCTAATTGTTTGCTTAACCTGGCTGCACCCAGTTCCTACAACCACTTCTCTCCAATGACCCCCAGGGTTGAGGCAGAAGTGTAGAAGGGCCTCCCTAATGGCATGAATGTGGAGGGAGAAGGGGCCTTCTGGCTAGTCTACGTAGGAGGCTACATGTTATATTTGTGAATGCATAGTAGGATGTATTTTTCCCACTGACTCAGTGTTCCCAGGAGTGTACCCTCAAGAGCTGTATCCTTGAGAGCAGTGTCCCTGTGAGCACTGGGGAATTGGTATCGACAGTGTCCCAGAGAACATGGCCTCTGCCTTGTAGCAAAACAATGAAAAGGGGAAAAATGAAATAGTTTTAAATATAGTTTTAAACTAAGTTCAGTCTAATTTGCTCTAGCCATCACCAAAGCATTCTAAGCACGATCCCATGGTTATTACCTTATCTAACCACATTGCTATATGTGAACAAGTTTGGATTTCTTTTTCTGTTGGGCATTCACTCTGAGATTCCTGGGTTTATAGTGCGTGCTCTGGGGAGAACGACAACATCCTTGTTCTACATTTTGTCCTAAATGATCAGTGACCCCAGATCTCACTGTGCTAGGCGCTGTGCAAAGCCTGAACAACTGTTCCTGCTCCAGAGAGCATTTAAACATACTCACAACTTTAACTCCGTCTTTATATAGCTCTTGATTGACGATAAAATAATGTAATATATATTTTTGATAAAAGTAATCCTCTAATTTACTTATCAGTTACGTATAATCATAGAATTACAGAGAAGCAGGGCTGAAGGGAGGAACATGTCAGAGGGCTTAGATTTTTTTAGCATGGGTATGGATATACAACCCACTTACCACAGAATGAAAAGGCAGTGGGGGTGGGAGGAGATGCAGGGAGGGACTTTTTGGCATGTAAGCTGTTTGACAGTAATTGCTTATGCATGTGGTCTTACCTCAAGATAAATGGAAACCCTTAGTGAAAGGGCGCAGTAACCATGGGTTAGCTGTCACATGCCACAAAATGTGTGACCATGGACCGGTACCATGGAGCAGAACACAACATTTTTCCTATTTTCATATGTCAGGTTTTCATACATTCTCATCTCATTTCATTAAACTACAGTACATAGTTCAGCTTAATTAATGTTTGTAAACTGTTTTGACATCCTTGGAGTGCAAAATATTGTTGGAGAAAGTCCCACAGCATAATATGTAGTACAAAGCAAAAACAAAACCAGTATTGCAAAACAGGGCAAAGTAAAGTAGGAACATATGAAAAATAAAGTTTCATTCTTGGGTTTCATCGCTGAACTCTTAGGCTAATCGACACAAACACAGAGGCTGTCCTCTCAGTGCTGCTTGTTTCAGAACGTCGTGTCCTGTACCATACTTGAAGCAAAGTACATGTAAATTAAAGGATAATAGGCCATTGTCCAAAAAAGCTATTGCACCAGATGAAACAATCATAGCACATTCTCTCATAACTCTGTTTTCCATGGCAAACCAGTGTTTTGTTTATACAATCAGCAGGCCACTGCAGTGAGTGTAATATTTCATAGCTACTTATTACTGCTTGTGGACTCTCTTATTTGCTTCCTGAAACAGCTCTACTTACTGCATGCAGTGTGCAGAAATAATTCAGACTCAGAAGTTAAGAGACTGGATTAAGGTAACCCAGGTCTGTAAACATACCTACATGAGACTCCTATTTCCCCACCCCACAGGACATAGTTTTTGGACAGGCTGTGATCCTTTTTCCCCCATTCTTGTGCTTCCTGGTTTCTGGTAGAATGGGTGTATCTGTCTAAGAGGAAAGAGGTCTCAACCCATACATGAGCTGAGTACTTTGGCTCAAATGCAACTCAACCTTTAGACAGGTATGAAGTGGTTAAGCTAGCTTCATAAGTAAGTAGCAGTGCAGTTCACATACACGGATTTTAAATATTACTCCTTGGGAAAGCAGGAAAATCATGACGAGATCAAGAACAGCAATTCTCTTACCTTTTAACTCAGTGGACTAGTGGTTGAGACAGTTGTCCAGGTAGTAGGAGATCTGGATTCTAGCCCCTCCAACCAGAGGGTATTTGAATTGCAATAAAATGCTTAAACTGCTAGTCCTGTGTAGGTATTGCCAAGAGCATCCTCTAGCACAGTGCTTCTCAACCCCTTATGTAGCAAGTATCCCCTAACTTCTGAAAATTTTAATAAGTACCCCAACACTCAATTTTCCAGGGGATTTTATATTTACAGACTATGTGCCATATGTTGGAAGAAGGGTTGTGTATATAAGGCTGTGATATGATAGCTGTCTGATCTGGTGTGGATAGGGTTGCCATCTTTTACACCAGGGGTGCACAACTCAACTCTAGCCCAGGTACTCAAGTATGTACCTGGGCTAGAGGTGATGTTGGCCAAAGCTAGGAGGGCTGAACCCAGGGCCGTGCAAAGCATGGCACGCCAAATTATTACTGGGGAAAGTAAAGTGCTGTGCAATGTGCGGTGCACCAAATTTTTTGCCATATTTTTGAGAGCCCCCCCCCCGCCTGGGTCTCATATACCCCCAGGGGTACACATACCACGGGTTGAGAAAATATGCTCTAGCACGCTTGTTGACCCATTGGGTTGTGAAGAGGGGAAAATATGTGGGTCAGCAGGGCTGTGGCTTGGTAGGCTTAAAACCCACTTTAAATGTGCAGTGGTCATAGGTTCTGAGTCTTATTCCAGCTAGCAATGGTGCTTTTACACTGAATAATTGGCATGGGTAGATGCTGCCCCACTGATTCAGGAGTTGCTCCAGAACCTCAGGCCCCCTCTTTTCCAGGTTTGTGCCTGTCTCATTGAGCCATACTACCTCTTGCTTTGCTTTCTGTCTGGCATCTTTCCCACATCTTTCCCGCTTAGCTATACAGGGGACTAGAATCAACAAGAGGGGTGGAGTGGGGTTACTTTTTGCTAATGCCTAACCCATGGTATAGTATTTAGGATGAATTACTATGAAGAAAGAAACATTTACTGGTTCTAACCACTTCTGGATCTCCCACTCCCTGAGCAAGTACCCTACTTATTAGGTTATAAAGTGTGAAGGTCCTTATTATTCAACTAACATATCTGGGACTTACATGGAGGTTTTGTGTCTATCCCTGCTGGAAAACAGGATCACTGCCAAGTAGAATCTGAGCATGCTCAGAAGGATCTGGGGAGTTAGCAGGGAATATGATATCAAAATCTGTAAAAGTGGCTTAAAATGCCACCCATGAACGTTAGATATGATATGAATTTTAGGTGTGTAATTGCCACTTACCCATCAGAGGGGGAGTTGTGCTTGGGCTTTTGTGTGGAAGGCCTCTAGATACTCTAGCCGGCAGTGGTATGTGTGGGAACCCCATGAAACCGTCTCTCTTTGGCATTTTCCCCATCATGGTGGACTGGGCCAACCAGCAGCATTATCTAGGACAGTGGTGGGGGGAACCTTTTGGGTATGGATGCTGCAAATTAAACCCAGCACTTTCTCTGAGTGCTATTCCAAT